GTGTCCTGTTAAAGTTCCAAAATATTACACATTGGCAAATTACCTTAGCCATTCTTTGCTCCTATTACGTTTTGGCAATTAGTACATTTATCGTGATTTAGTCAAAATACTACTTTGTTTACATTGCTACATTTATTATGACAAATAATTTCACATTCAGCGAGATGTGTCAAGAGAGTCACCTTCAAGCATTATTTTGTTTATTTTGAACTAAAATTACTTAATTATGAGGTTGAATGAAGTTGACCTTTTTAACTTTTTTCATTAGTGGATTTTAGTTTATGGTTTACGTAGGCAATAAACAACTTTCTATTGGTCGATTATATCTTTGGCGGTAAACATTTTTGTCTTTTTCACCTCTACTGTTCATTCTGTATTTGGTTGACAAGTAGATAACATGTTGAAATTCTAATTTATTGGAAGTTTATTTTACAGAATTGTTCAACTTTAGTTGGATTTTTTGTTTGTTTTATTGACTGGTGTATTTCTGTTTATCAGATATCTTAGTGTGCGAGCCGAGAGGAATTTTCGTATTTAGTTATTATTTCGCTGAATACGAACTAATTTTAGTCTGTATTTCTTGCTAAGTTAGCAGTTTGTATTTTTGACAAAAATGTCTTGAAAGGAGAGGGAACAAGTGTAGAAAAAAATTGCATCCCAGAAGTAAGAGATTTGACTATAAATTACTAAATGACGGATTCGGAGATGAGGAATAAGAATCCTTATGGACAGAGGATATATGGAAGATATAAAATAGTTTTCAGATGAAACTACAAAAGCAGCCCTGTTGCCCTCTTCCGTTCAAAATGTCAGTTTCCGCGAGGAATATGAATTTTACTTGGGATACAGACTTGAATAGAGAAAGTGGTAAGAATGATTCTGGTATCATTCAGATGATGAAGGAGCTGAGCACCTTACAGCAAGAAGAACGGGTTCTCAAGGAGCAGTTACCCGAAACCGAAATATTAAGAAAACAAATTGAACAGAAGAAACATGACGTTAAAAATTAAAGAGTGATATTGTTCAATCTAATACATGAGATAACAATTTGTCTAATGAAAAGCAAGTTATTGAAGATGCAAGTAAGAATGCCGATATTGAGAATATAACACTTAATGACTTGAGAATAAAACAAAAATGTGCGGCGAAAAACTTAGTCCAAATTAAGTAAAATTTGTTTCGATATTTTTTTCTCACTCAGATTCAGACTATTGTTGTAATGAAGGTTTGATAAATGTATCCAAAAATGTTTAAAAAAGGTGTCTGATTGTTCTAGTACATCAGAAGATTCTGACTTTGGTTCTTATCATTGTTCAAAGAATAAAATTAGGCCTGGTAGACAACAATATCCTCTATCCTGCCTTAGATTTGAATATGTAACTAGTTCAGTTACATTTGACAAATTAGAATGGAATTTATTTGTTGCAGGGAAATTAGAAATTATTTCATTCATGCTTCTGAACGTAAGCCTAGACTTGAATTATTAAAAAAACTTATCATTGTTCTTTTTACGAAGATTACTTGCTGCTAAGGAGGTATGAAGATTGCATTTCAGTGGATTTGTTCTATTGTATATATAAGTTCTAGAGGTATTTAATGGCCTTGAACTTGATGTTTATATGATAGATATGTATTAATTGATATTTGTACTTCAGGCATTTGCCTTAGACACATTGTTTCTCACCAAAGGCTAAGTCTTGAAAGCTGGTAATGACCTGTCTTTGAGATTATGCTACTAAGGAGGTAGTAAGAATGCCTCTTAGTAGATTTGTATGTTTCTGAACTTGTATTTGTTGATTTTTTTTCTCTCCATGGCCATGGGTTTGGCTTCATGATGAATATTACTACTGTAATATGATTATTGTGCTAGCATATTGGTAGACAAAACCATTTTGATTAAGTTTCTTGATGAGACAAATTGTCTTATTTGTATTTAATAAAAGAATTGTTTATATGAATGTGAAACATGTGATCTCCGTTCTATCAAGATCTAAATTTATTTTGTGTTTTCTGTTAAATGAAAACTTATAATTAATATTTGAACAGGGTTATGAGAGTTACTTTAGAATTTATAATGGTTAGCTTTTTCTTTAGACAGTGAATTTAGATGTAATTCAATTGGACATACATTAACTTTGAATAATTAAGCCCTAAGTCATTAACTTTATTTTTCAGATTTCAAAGAAATGCTGAACATTTTCTATACACACAAACTTAACAGGACTAAATATAAGCAGTTTGACTATTTTTGAGGATTGTTAGAGGTAAAGCACTATAAATGCATTTGTCAGGTTCAAAATTAATAAATCAATGCTTACAATAACTAAAATGCTGTTTCGGTTTACATTTTGCCTATGTTTTCGGGCGAAATTTCTTCGCTCGGCACTTAATTTTCCCAAATTTTCTAAAGGTAAAATTTTGGTTCTAGAAAAAGTCTCTTTGATAAGCAAGTGATGGTCTGCTTTTTTTCACAAGCATATTATGCATCATTAAAACACAGTTATAATATGTCTGATGTTTATAGTAACGTAAACAGTCCATATTCAGGTAAATAAATGCACATATAGGGATCACAACTTCGGTGAATTACCTCCCTTTATTTAATAAGAAACTTAGATAAGTTCTTAAATTCTAGTTTCTGGCCCTCTAAATGTAAAGAAAATATACAAATATTTTCAATTCTAATTGCATTTTGGCATAAAGAGGTGGTGTATCTTGTTATATGATAAACAAGGAAAAGCGGCGTTAAATGAACGCAACCCCAACCGACCCAGCAACAAGGACCAGCGGTAAGAAACTCTGGAGAAACACCTGAAAAAAGTTGCAATTGTCATATTTAGCTACAAATGAATGCAAAAATGGCCAAACGTTGGGCTTAAAAGTTTAAAAGTAAAATTTTAGGCTTTTACTTAGCTGTTAGGTTTAGCTAGGTTTCTCATTTATGGCATGTTTTTATACCAATGAAAGAAAATAAAATACATATGAAATAGTTATAAATTATTTTTGGCATTTAATTGATGTTAAAAATCTTATTGCTATCTGTGTTATTAGATAGAAGTTGTTACAATATTGACGAATAGTGAATTATGTATGAAAATTACATGCTAACATTCATTTTTAGAATATTCCGAATACGGCATATGACGCTCATTTGAAAAAAGGGAACTTTAAAGTTTTAAATGGCTCAAGAGTGGTGAAAATGATTCCATATCATTGGTAATTGTAAAACAGACACCATTTACTATTGGATATAAGAATATTAAACATCCCTTCAGATTAGACTTTTGCATTGTAACATGGCCAGCAATTGGCTGAAAAAAGTGCAGGGAAATCCGTATGATTCAAAGGGACCTGCGTTTATTGGATGAAAAATTTCGTTGGCTACCCCTCATTTGTATTTGTCAGGCACTATATTCTGCCAGAAAAAAATCACCTCTTTAGCATGAAAACACAATGTAATCTTAAGGTAGAGTTAGGGACCATTTTTCTCATAATGTAAATCTATCACAGGACCAATGCGAGAGTCTGACCTTCAGATAGACACAATTGTAACGACGTTGGTAGAACGTCATATAATGAGCATTACAATATGCGAAAACAAAAGATGATGAATTCACATAAAGGATAGTATCCAATATATAAGGGCATAAACCACTCTCGGTGGTGAGCTAGCTTTTCACCGACAGGGTTTGTGTGCCTTAAACCGTTACATTTGGTGGCCAGTGTTGGGGGATGTAGACAACTGCCAGACCGGAGTTGCCCTACCCACAGATTTCCCAGGCCAAGTCTCGACTTCTCGAAGGGGAAAGTAATGTAACGACGTTGGTAGAACGTCATATAATGAGCATTACAATATGCGAAAACAAAAGATGATGAATTCACATAAAGGATAGTATCCAATATATAAGGGCATAAACCCCTTATAGGTGGTGAGCTAGCTTTTCACCGACAGGGTTTGTGTGCCTTAAACCGTTACACAATTTTAATCGTTTAATTTTAAACGCGAAATGGCGTCAATGAAATATCAGAAAACGCTCTAATGGTACACTGCTGTATGCAATCGGTTCATCTCGGCTATTATCAATAATAACCTCTGACTTAATACTGATTGCAAGTAGTACTACCACTTGGTATTAAACAAAAAACACAAGAGGGTGTAACATTTGATAATCTATAATGGATGTATGTTATTGATATCCAAAGGAAAATAATGTATTTTTGGTAACATTATGATTAAACATATGTCTGATCATCATAATCAATTTAAAAATGCTCACAGATGTACAATTATTACCAAATCCGAACAAATATCAAAAAGTGAACATTTTGTACTTTCGGTTTCTACAACCATAATAATAAGTATATATAATGTACTGTTTTCTGTGTAAGGTTACTAATTTAAGTGGACCTTTACTCGATATATTGGTTTAAATTTAGTCTTCAACTCATATAGCATTAAATTACTATTGTTTACATGTTTAGTTTCTTATCTTACGTATGGATCCGTTCTATGTATTCTTACTATTGCGCAATCGCAACTTTTCGGCCCTTTCCGCCAGACTTGGGATAAGGACACCGAACACAATAGTGGTCGAACAATTTTAAAACCATATTAACTTCGATAATATTAATGATATCCGAGGACGTTCCGAATGACTATTGCGCTATAGCGAGTTAATACGAATTGAAAACAGTTCTTTGTAAACAAAAACAGAGAATGAAATCTTCGATTATGTAACACGAATGTATATATTTGACATCCAAACGAAGATAAATCTGTTTCGGTACAATTATGAGTGAAAATATGTCTGACAAACCATTTTTGATTAAAATGCACACTGCTGTACAATTTTAAACAAATCCAACTTAATGTCAACAGGTTTACATTTTATACTTTCGGTTTCTACAGACATAATAATAAGTATATAAATAATGTATTGTTTACTTTTATATCTATGAATTTACCTATTTTAGGTGGACTTTTATTTGTTATATAGGGAAACACTTGTCAACAACTCCCAGAATTAAATTACTTTTTGCTTATATGATTAGTTTTTTAGCGTAGGTTAGACCGAAATACCGTATCCGTTCTGTGTATTCATACTATTGTGTTCGAGTGGTGCCTACGTTTAGCTAAACCCAATAGGTGAATTGCTCATTAAGAATGATGTGAGTACAAATATTATTTCTATTTTTAACATTTCTGTGCATTCAAGAATGTAAATATTTAAATAATGTTTTGTTAGATAGACTTAAATTTTTTTATGTTATACTTGTTTAACCATATAAACTGTTTTAGTAAGCTTACTTTAAGTTTTTTACATACTTCGATGAAATAAACATACTGTGATGAAAGGATAAATATGTCACTAAATTTTTGGGTAAAATATTCAGGTATGAGCCATTCAATGTGGCAATGGTTTTTAAAAACATTTATTACCTCCAGAGGAGCCAAACTTTTTCAAGAAAATAAAACTTGAGAAAAATGTTATATGAATTTAAGAAAATTAAAGACTCGTAATAATTTACATATTATATGTGATTAATGACTGATTTTGCAATATTTATCAACATATTTCTATTGCGTGACTAACGCAATAAGGGCTATGTTTGCATATTTTGACCTCTCCATTAGACAATTCGCGTGGATTGTAAGTGCCGTTTTAAATTTGTAAAAATATTTTCTTTGTTCACATCATAATATTTTATGTTTAGATACATTGTCAATTTTTTCATGAAAATTAGCATGAATCTGGAAGCAGGCTGCTTTTTTGTTGCTTTTTTCTATGGCTGTTTTTCGGTATGGCAGTAATTGTAGCTTAAGTAACTGAAAGTATTAAATAGGAAATTGTCTTTTTTGCTTCAATATTATTTGAAAAGTCTTCTTAACGCTATATTTAACTCTAAAATTTCTTATATTCTCCAACTTTGGCAGTTATTCATGTTAATTTATCTCAAAATTTTGGCAGTTATTCAAATTCATTTATTTTTACGTTACGTGTATATAAAATACCCAAACCTTTGTTGTATAAATCAAGTTGACGCCTTGTATTTTCAAGGTTATGCATGCAAACAAAAGAATTATTGAATGTAATATACAACGCAATAATCTTTTTTATTATCTGCTGCAAAATAAATATTTGATTTCTAAACTTTATTATAACTCAATTCAAATAAAATCAATAATTGTATAAAACATTTGACAATGCTTATAGCACATACAAATATTAACATTGGCAAATGAAAACATATCCAAAAAAAAGAAGAAAAAAAAACAAAAAAACATACAAGACTTTATAGCAATTACAATTTTATGTCAGTTTTTTGTTTGCTTCACCTTCAGGTTATTGCGAAACACGGGTATTATTTGGAAAGTATATGCATTTCGATAGTTGGGAAAATGACTTTTTATTTAAAGTTCGCTTTAAATTCGAACTTATTTATTGTTGATCATCGGCAGAAATGAGGTTTAAGATTTTTTTCGGAGTTCGCGGTAATAAGGACAAACTAGCAAAAAGTGAAACTCATTTCAACTACATTCATTAAGCAGCGTGTTGTCTTGTCAAAGTGTTTCGATTAACAATTTGTGGCAGGAATTTCTTAATTTTGAGAGGGCTATTTTGTATTTAGGCTCTAAAAACAATTTTAATATGATTCGACCTCAAAACTATTTTGAATATGCAACAAGACTCTATACTATACGTGTGAACTTATTCATATCGCTATACCAGCGTTTTAAGTATGCGTCAAAGATACAATTTTTAATAATCTGAAATGGAAACTCCAAGTGTAACTTAATCCTAGTGTTTCCAATATAATTATCTCTATCTTGGCCGGACCAATGTTTACCTCTCATACGGACACGTTGAATAATTTAGATACGACCTTGACCTTTAAATGACCTTGGATGTCAAATGATTGAATTTTGCTTATATTTTCTCAACTTTGTCATTTGTTTATTTATTGAAATAACTCATACTCGAACAAAATAACGAGCGTGACTAGACAGATCTATAAAAATTTAAATAAAAGGAATAACATCACTTATTTTCTTTAATTTACTTTTTAAAGATTTGTTCAAACCAAGTAGATTTCTCTATTTGTTTGCTTTTAGAAAAAGTTTTAAAAATTGAGCGTCGGAAGTTTAAAATCTTTTGTCCAGTACTTGATTATTTGATTTTCTGTAAACTAAGTGGCAAGCGCCCTACCTCGACGTACAAACCGGACAAATTAGTACGAGGGATGATCAAAAATTAACCGGACTTTGTAAATGATTCTTAACCTGTTAAATGAATTTACATAAAAATACACGGAACATAAATCGTAATCTATCCCCTAAATGATACAAAAAATACCAACAAGAAATATAAACAAATAAAAAAGTTATGCAGTTATTGGCATGTACATGTAAAGCAATGCGGCGCACGGTATAACTTTGAAATTGACGTTTACGACGTCACAAGCGTATTTTCCTTAACGGAGCAGTTTTTACTCATTCACGGAGTAGGCCAATAAGTGGTACAGTCATGTTGATGCGGCGGATCCACTGCCTATAAATATTTCTGTACAAGTGGGTATCATATTGTATTGTAAAAGAATGGATGATGATAAAATGACGGAATGTAATGACACAAATTTAGGTTCTTTCCTCTTGTAACTTTATTGTTGGAAAAACTGCACATGCAATAAACTATATTATGTATTACAAATAATGTAAAATAATGTTGCTGAATGATAATGTATCATACATAAGAAAAAATAAAAGAATGATAAACTATTAACAAAATTGTCATTATTTTAAAATGAATAAAAAGCATAGCCGATTTTGAACAGTGACTGTCTAATTGTTGACACAATTTCTCCAAAAAACTACTGCGTAAAATAAGAAAATAATTGATACAATTGTAAACCAAGAATACAATATATGTGATTAATGCATTAACTCTTAATATTTTAAAATCCTTAGTGTTGACTGCACCGTCCCGTAGCTACTGTCGAACATCGTTGACAATGTCCGCAGTCAATCGACTGTCATTTTCCAACGTCTTGGCGATTGACGTCGCCAACGTCCTTGAAAATTTCTTTTTTCTGTCTCTCCCTTACTTGATTTCTATTTCTTTATTACCCATTCTTAATCTTTTATGCTAATAAAAAATTTGCTGTGGCTTTCTTGAACTTTTCCCTTGATAGCCATGATATTTTTCTACGTTTTAAACAGTTTCTCGTCTTACTTTTGACAATTTTTTCTTATTGATCGATTTTTGAGACATTCCGACGACATAGTTTTAACGGGAGTATTTCATTAACATGTGACGTTTGAATTGTGATTGCGAATATAAATATGATTTAAATGAAGTCATGTTTACTGACAACGTCAAAGATACGGTTCATGATGTTTTGGCGTATTTTGAAATCTAAATGTGCCATATTGTAAAATATACGCAGCTTAAAGCGCCTGATATCAAGGCGAATTTACGCACTGCGCCGGGTGTGCGTTACCATGGTTTTTGAATTCGCTGTTACGGACAAGTTGTTTGCGTTATCAGATTAGATAAAGCATCAGTTTACAGGTATTGTTTTCCGATTAAGTGTGATATATAACAATAAATGATAGGTTGAAAATTCTTCATTTGACAGTCACAGTCCGGTTTATTTTTGATCATCCCTCGTAGTAGCACTTTTAACGGATAGTATCCGACGCAAAGATTTTTGTCTGGACCAATTCAACGTCTGATGCTTCGTTCATTCCCCATACTTTCGAGCCAAAATGAAGAATCAAACTTGCGACTCTATCAAATAATTGAAGGATCTTTTAATTCAATGTTATTTAAATAGACACCGGACCGCATCGGGACCTAAAAGCATGCTGTTATACATTTTAGTACGGTACCAATTTCTATTTTTAAGTAAATTAATGGCTTGGTATTTAACGGATATGTATGTCTCGATTGGTGTGATGTTGATATAGAAGTTATAATTTGAAGCGCGACATTTTTTAAATAATAACTTAATTTTAAAAATATTTATTTTAAACCCCCACCATCGACAATAAGTAATTAGATTATCTATTATTGATTTAAGACTAGCCAGAGATTTAGCGAAAAGTACTTGGTAACAAAATATATAACAGTTCATTTACCATAAAATGTTTGTTTATATGTTTTGAGAAATGTCATTAACGAAAAGCATGTACAGGCAGTACAGCAGAGGAGAACCTGGGTCTCCATGCTATAAGCCTATATCAAAGCTAAAAATATCGGAAATTTGGGAGTTTAACCGCACACATGACCAAACAATGGTTTACATTGATCTTAAAACCTTTACATGTTTTCCACTCACGTTCTCTGCTTACAACTTGTTAAATAGAAATGTCCCATCTAAGTCGAATCATTGCATGTACATGTAATCGATAAATACACAGTATTGTTTTTGCCCTGAGTTCTGTACTTTATTATACCCCCACAAACGAAGTTAAGGAGGGGTGTATGTAGGAGTCAGGTTGTCGGTCGGTCGGTCAGTCCATTGGTCCGTCGGTCGGTCCACACCATGGTTTCCGGACGATAACTAGAGTTTGGAGAAAGGTATTGTAATCAAACTTGGTATATAGTAACCTTATGTGAAAATCCCAGTTGGTATTGCATTTGGACCCTCTGGGGCCAAGGTCAAGGTCACCCTTACTAAAAATAGAAAAATGGTTTCCGGACAATAACTTAAATTAAAAATGAGATATTGTTATCAGACTTGGTATATAGCAAGCTTATATGAAGACCCCGGTTGATATTGCACATAGGCCCTCTGGGGCAAAGGTCAAGGTCACCGTTACTAAAAATAGAAAAATGGTTTCCGGACAATAACTAAAGTAAGGAATGAGATATTGTAATCAAACTTGGTGTATTGCAAGCATACATGAAAAAGCGGTTGGTATTGCATTTGGACCCCCTTGTGTCAAGGTCAAGGTCACCGTTACTAAAATAGAAAAATGGTTTCCGGACAATTACTAGTGTTAGGAATGAGATATTGTAATTAAACTTGGTGTATAGCAAGGTTATGTAGAGACCCCGGTTGGTATTGCATTTAGACTCACTGGGGTCAATGTCACAGCTTCTTAAAATAGAAAAATGGTTTCCGGACAATTACAAGGGTTAGGAATGAGATAGTGTAATCAAACT